AAGCCTATAATTACTTGGGTCATCTCTTTTATTCTTTTTAAATATTGGCATGTTAACTTTCTTTTGCTCTCCTGAAACTTCCCCTGTGTTGCAAGAGTTATTGAAAATCGACATAAATAGTCAAGCTCCTCAACAGTGCCTTTAAACCTGTCGGATACAGGTTATCCAAACCTGCTAATGTAGAAATGTTTAATTTCCTGTTCCAAAGCAGAATAGAAACAGCTTTAAAGTTCCTGGAGCACATACAGCTCTTACCCCTCCAAATCAAGCCAGCAAGAATTGGGAATGCTCAGGGTCCCCCACCACTTGGAATAAGACATAGAGGGCAATGACAAGAATAATTTCTAACCATGATCCAGAAGAGAAGGTGACAAGTGAATACTCTTTCATTCTTACTCTGTAAGTTGTTAAAACACAATTGTTTCTGGTTTAGCAGATGTGGAAACTGAGACGGGTGGAACCTTAGCAATGCCCACAGTGCACATACCAAACCTAATACTAGAAGTCAGAAGGTCTGAGACCCTCCATGCCTAAAGCTATAGGCACCTCCTCACACATCCTCCCCTGTGTAAACCAGAGGTTTCAACCAAAAATCACCACGTCAAAGCACAAACAAAAATGTACAACTCTTTATTATCTTTTTATTGGAATCACAGTTAACAGCAACTATGAAAAAGGAAGTAAATAAATTCTGATTTTTTAATTTATTCTGTGTAATCGCTGGTTTTTGCCTCAGAGTGAAATGGTTTTGTAAAGCAATCAGCACACATGGAATTAGCATGGTGTATAACTACAAGTAATTTTTAAAATAAGGCTGATTATCAATTAATTTTTTACATTGTCTTTTTACGGAGATAATGGCCAAAACAAAAGTAATGCAGACATACAAATACTGTGTTAGGAACCTAGAAAAACAGTGAGGGATGTTACATGTCAAACTGGACCAGCACAGAATTGAAAAACAAATACCACATTTTATTTGTTGTGAGGCTGAACTTCTGAAACACACAAGTATGCATGAGCTTAAAAGAATTATGAAGTCAAAGGTAAAAAAATAAATTAAAGATTTAAATAAATATCTGATAGAGTCTAGTACTAAAACAGTCACACTTCTTTATAGCATTTTCTGAGGTATGTTCAAGTAGGAAAGCAGCTGAGACCAACTAGTGTCACTGAAAACAAGCTATAATGTTAAAATATTGAATTGCTTTTGGCCAGAGTAGCTAATACGGGTAATAAATTTGAATTCTGCTCCTTTATGCTTAGTGCTTGGAAATGTGGAATTAACCAGCAACAATAAGAAATCTATATAAATTGAATACTGTATTTGCTTCTTTGTGATTTAGCATTCTAAAATACTCAGGCAAAAGAAAGGCTGCATTAAGAGAACATCAAGTGACTCATACTCAGAAGATAGGCAATACCATATCTGAGATTGCTTTTATAATGTTAATTCAGCTCAGCTGTACGAGTCCCTTTCCAAACAGCAGGTCATTTAATGTAAGCATTCTTTTTCAGAAGACCTCTGTCTCATTCAGATCTGGAAATAAGTCAACAGTTTGTTTTGAAGAAGATGCTAAATGTGAGATAGCAAATCCCTCATTTGCTGTAGAAATGGAATTTGATGTAGTGAGAGAGGTGGCACTTGCAGAAGGGTTGCTGGATTAAAGAATGTGAATATAGCCCAGAAGAATTCAAACTTCTCTTTCCCTATAAAATTCCAAGGTTATACCGAAATCATTTAAACCACTATTTTTAAAAAATGTCATTAATTCTGTTTTCCTCATTTTCTATACCCCATCTTAAATCCACATGGCTTGATTTGGTGGAATTTTAAACTCTCATAGTTGTAATTTAACATTTCATAGACTGTATGTCTTAAAAGAATTGCAGCTACCCACCGTTAGTCAGAAGTTGAGTTATAGGATACCTGCTATTCATCTAAACCAAAGTGACTGGGATAATTTGTCCTTCTTTCCTTTTTCACTATCCTTGGAACTTAAATCCAGGAGATGATAGGCACTCTGAACTTACTAATTACTATGAAAAATCAGGTCAAAGGTACCTCAGTTTAGGCATCCAAAGTTAGTGAATAATTTTGGCCATACTTCCTTCATCTCCATCTAAAAGATGTGGAAGAACTGAAATCTGTATACAGTGGCGGAATATCCATACAAGGTTCATCAACAATTCCCCAGCTCTTTGCCCTGATTCCTAAGATAAAGCAACATCCATAGTTGAATCTGAATCTCCATCAGACGTTCTCCATCAAGGTGCTTTATCTGAATTGAAGGATCTCAGGGAACATCACAAAATGCATTTGTTCTGCAACCTACACATCAGCTTAATTCATTTTCCGCAAAGCAAAGATGATACCAGTGATGCAGCTCATGAGAGTAAAGATAAATTAGTGGTTGTTTGTGAAGTGCTCAGATGCTGTCATGAGGAACACCATAGAAAAGTCTGTAAGAAATTAATAATGTCTATCAAGAACAGCATCTAGGCAGATAGTGATAAATAAAGTGCAAGGTCACACACTGAAATGGGAAGAAAATAATGGTGAATTACCTGAGCACCATCCTTTCTATCCAATAAATTAGGTAAGGGTATAGTGAAAGAATAGTTTATGATCTGATAATATATTATTATCATCTGATATAATCTGGTAAGAATAGTTTATGATCTGATAATCAATCTGCCTTCATAGAGGGGACAGGTTAAGTTTGCATGGGCAGTTTTAATTCTGACCTTTTCTAACTGTTCTCATCTTTGCTGATCCTTTGGCAACAACGACTGAAACTGTGGGGTATGTACGTGCCTGCTTATGTGCCATTTCCTAGAATTTTGTTAAAAGTATCTACTTTGTATTACAAAAAGATACATAGATGTAATTTATTTCATATTACATTTTGTTGGGACTTTTGAGTTCCCTAATTTGTTGAAACTGCCAAACTTCTAAATTTGAAGTCTGTATCATTAACAGATACATGCTCCAACTACCCAGACATATCTTGACATAGGTACTCACTAAATACCCAACTCCTCATGGATTTCAAGTGTATAAATCAAGTAGATCTACTGACAAGAAATTACATAGAAATTATGCATCCAATTGAGCAATATCCCCCTGATGCCTACTTTTTCTAACCATGCAGTCTACAATACAGTATTACTGCCCCACACACTCATGATTTCCATTTTTATTTACATAAGAAAACATGGGTTTGAATAAGTGACTTGATCAAGATCAGCTGAAAACCTGTGGCACTGCCAGGCACTACACCTGCAATTAGAAATACCTGGTTGGTGCTTAGTCACAGTAAAATCCTTCCTTGCTTTTAAAACTCACAAGAACTCAGTTCTTAAAGTATTACTCCTATAAAATTTTGTCAGGTCTTGTGATTTTTTAAATTTAAATTGCAAGAGAAATGTTTTTCCGATAGCACTGGTGAGATAAATTAACATTGATTCCTGTCTTGCTTTCAGCAGGATCCAGCCTCCAGCTCAACTATATTTACTTCACTGCTCACTTGCACAGACTCTTCTTCCTACAGCATTTGAAAAGGTCTAATTTTAATTAAAAATATCTTACTTTAAGTTTTCATTCTGTGTACATCACCATCTGTGAGAAAAGTCACTTTCTTTATGTACTTGTTTTCATTTGGGGGCTGTTCCAGTGTAATGTCAAATCCTCTTAAACATTTAATTGGTTCCCAGCATTGTTGATGGGTACCCTGTACTTTGGGTAGCTATGTAGAAAGTATCTATCATTCTGACCTCTAAATTTTTGATATATCAGAGAATTGAATCTTCTAGCAGGAAATTTTTCATTCCACTGTGTTATAAAACAATGCTCTCTAAAACTGTTTCTCTCACCAATACAACATCCAGCAGCCCAGAGTATCACGCTGTAAGAGAGATGTTAGTCTGGAGCCATCTACTGGTTGGATCGCTGAGCTCTAATAGATTTGAAAAGACACTTTACGCATGTAATTTTATCGTAATTATAAAAATAACAGCATATGTATTAATAGATTAATCACCTAAGTATGTGACATTTCTTGTGCACTGGTTCTTTGTTTTTAATTTTAAATACACAGTAAGCTTAATATGGCCCAATTATCAAAATTAAAAAATAATTTATTTATCTTGCTTTGATTAAATAAGTAATAATGGAGGGGAGGGGGGCCTAAAAAAGCTCTTATTTCTCAATAACACTGAAAAGAAACCAAAGAATAAGGTAATATTAATGCTAAAATGCAAAAAAATTAGTAAAATAATCCACGTATCTGTAGTTTTATTGCTGTGATAAAAAGGAGAGATAATTCTTATTGCCTTATCTCATGCTTTCTAAGATTGTACCCTGAATTTGTATGCGCTGTTCTAAACCTAAGATGCACCACGTACGGTTTTCTTTGGACTAAAAAAAAAGTCTTAGCCAGTTTTATGGCATTCTTCAAAGGTTTTTATTAAAAATAAATTCAGACAAAAAAAGGTAGCAGATGAACACAAGTATAAAGCCTTTAAAACCAGAAGTTCTAATTAACAAGCTACTAGTAACTAAAAATAATTCAAACAATTTAGTCTGGAGACCAAAACTATATATAATGATGCTGCTAAGTATGTACTTACTCATCTATTATATGATAATATCGATAACAATTTGTGCTGTAATTTAGTCTTATTTCTATTATTGCAAGAATATTTGAAACTTTAACTGTGTTTTCAAGGGGCAAGAGTGAGCATTTTACAGATTTTAACAGTTTAAGAGAGATTCTTTCCATTTATTAAATAAGTATACATACACATCTACATATACGTATGTATACACAGACACATATATATATAAACTCATGCTAACGTCTATATACACATATGCATATATGTATATATACATATAAGTGTATATATGTATATACATGTATATATGTATGCAATATAAGTATATTCATCTATGTATGTATATACATATACACATATGGATGCACATGAATGCATGCCTATATGTCACATCTAACATCTAACTTGTATCTTAAAAAAAAATTCTCTGTTGGCTGTTAGTTGTACTGGGATAAATATTTGCCATTATTCACATTTGCCCTCAGCAGATACATCAGCAGGAGAGACTTCCAACAGCAGTTGTAAGTGGCAAGTAATTTTATCAAGAAATGCAAAATGCAATTTAAAATGTATAAAAGGCAGATAAACAATAAGACTTCCCAGTATAAACAGAAAAGCATAAACATATTGCAGGTTTGGAGACCAGACTATGGGAGCTAGAACTAAGAAGAAAGACATTGCCACCATCACAAATGGAACTGGTAGAAACACCTGCAAGAGAAAGAAAAAAAAAAGTTGCTTTAGGAAATAAACTGAGCAACTATGATTTTAGGCCTCATTCATAAGAGTAATAATGTGTTCTTTGCCACACTACAGTACCATTTCTCACACTACCGCATCTCATCCAGGATGAGATTCATCTGACCTCAAATTGCTTACAAAATAGGCATCTTTTCTAAAATACTCATTCAGGCTCCTTCTATCATCAAGGGGGAGAGATAGGCAGTACCCGAAAACCATTTGTCCACATATGAACTTATGGGCTCCTAAGAGAAACTCGGCGTTGGGTGCATAGAAGAAGCCTTCACAGTAATCATACACTTCTAGCTTCCAGCTTTCTGACAGCTAGATTGGAGGAAATTAAACCTATCCTTAATGTCTGTGGTTGTGTCAGGGAAGATGAGAGTAGATCAGGGTTTAATTAACTGTGAATTGCCAGCCTGGATCCCACACTGTTTGGGTTACTGCTCCACACTAGTATGGAGACATGTTGTTTGCACATCTCCCCTACTCTGCATACGTCCATCTCTTTCAAGTGCAAGCTCCCCAGGGCAGACACCATCTGCTTTTTTCTTTTCCTACTACAGTGAAGGAAAGTTTTTGAATAAGGCTCTAAACATTGTGATTATTATTTGTATTTTTTTAGTGACTGCGCACTTCTGACTTGCACTTGTTCTGCAAGTTCTGCATGCTATCAATGACTCAAAAAAAATTGTAAAAATATATTGCAACTTATTTCCATTTACTTTATATGGCCGATGTAGATGAGGTTCACGGTATCGAAGTACAATCAGGCTTGCACAAGTCAATCCAATCATAAGCCAGGCAGAAAATCCGAAGTAATTTGTTAACGTAATAAGGTCAGAGGGGATGATAAAAATGGATGCAATGGTGGTTGAAAAAATCATGGCTGGTGCTGGAGTACAGGAGTGGACATTAAGCATGGATATTAAAACAGGTAAATGTCCTGATTGACTTCCAGCATAGCTTAATCGACCTAGAGTGAACATGCTGCTGTTGAGGGCACCAAATATTGAGATAGCAACAGAGAGAGGAATGATCCAGGCAACAGAGGGGATCACTCGATCAGCCCACGTGACTGCCACAGCAACTGCAAGAAAGCAAAGCATTAGGGTAGTGTCAGTACCATGTTCTGAGTTACTGACAGACTCAACAGAAACAAAGCTTAAAATAGAATAAACACCTATTATTTACCAGCAACACGTTTTTTTGTTACATTAGTCAAACATGACTAATTTAATCCTAAGAGCATTTAATTCAGGAGCTAAATTTTTCAGTGGGGGCATGACAGCAGGAAGGAGTGCTGCCTGCCAGAGCAAGCCAGCTAAACCTGCTGGGGCCAATACAGCAGTAATGGACTGCCTGGCAGGAGAAAGCTGCATCTCACCTCCATAAATCAAACGTACTTGCATGGGCAAGGCCGTGCGGGAAAAGAAAATGAATGCATTAGTCCCCAGCATGACCACAGTGGTGACATGATCTACTGTTATGAGCAAACTGCCAACATGAGCACACGTATGTGCAGAGATGAGTCAGCGAGCGTGTTATTAATGAGGTTTTGCTTTGGGTGGAACTGGGAAAGGGGAGAGATTAATTCTGAATAAGAGATATTCAATATTGCTTGGAAATTAGCTATAGCCCATACTGTAGCAAGGAGTAATATTTAGTGGGTCTATAACCAGCTGCCATGAGGAATATAGGACTTACAGTGACCTGCACAGCATAGGAAGTTATCAGAGATGGGAAAACAACCCCACCACCCTAAAAAAAATGTAGTGAAAGAACAAGAACCACAGGAATGCATAGCAAAGTTTGAAACAAGAGCTATAGTTTTAAGGCCATCTCCTCAGCTGACATAGATAAGCACAGCTCCCCTCGTATATTTGAAGCTGGTCATGCCAGCTGGGCAGCTGTTATCCATGGATACTCGTATTCGCTGACTCTTTCACTGCAGGGTGGATCTGCAAATGTATGCATCTCTCCCAGCAGACAGCTGGACAATGGTTAAGTGATAATACAAGGTTGCTGAGTGACAGCTACACCACTCCCATTTAAGTTATTGAGGTTTTTTTACAGGACAAAAAAAAAAAAAATGATCCATCCAAACAAGGTATGGCTTTTTGTCAATCCAGGAGACAAGGTCTGACATCTCAGTCTCATTAGACTGATATTTAAAAGGTGCTGTTTGGACAATCAAAAATTGGACTTTTCATGGACAGCTTATTGGTACAGAATTTAAGAGAGGCTTTACATACATTGGACTTCTGTATATGCTCATCTAAGGAACCACAATATTTACCATGAATAACCCCCTCACACGCACACAAAATAGCAACATTTTTGTGTCCGTAGTTCTTTCGATATTACTTATCATGGTAGACTTGTCCACCTCCTAAACAGTAATGGCTTTAGCCTGAGACACCATGAGGTTGAGAAGGAAGGAAAAGATACCCGATCTTCACCCGGTTTTCCGGGTTTTAATACACTTCTGATTTCTTTTTAGACAGTGCAGGTATGAGCCAATATTTTCAATACCTAATAATAGCTGTCTGCATTCAGTCCAACTTGTGTCATACAGTAAAATTAATCAAGAATTCTCTATTAAAACTTAGAATGAAACCCAAACTTCCTATCTGTGAAGTTAGATGAGCAGAAGTAACACAGTAAATTGACATCAGATGGGTATGCAGATGGACCACACATTTTTAACAAAAAAAAAAATCAAATCCATACCTGAAGAGACAATTTCCTTAGGTGTCAGGACAGTCAGATATGAGATGTTCACCAGCAAATAAAAAACAATTACTGCAGGAACAGCAGTCATCACAGTTAAGGGGATATTTCTGCTAGGGTTTTTGAGCTCTTCTGAAAAATACAATTTAAAAAGACTAATAAAGCAAGCAGTGTAGCTTCTGCAAGTGTGTTTCAGTAGTGAATCCGCACAGAGCTCGACAAGTCTGATACCAAAGTCCTGGCCCAACCCCTAATCACGGCTGCTAAGCTACGTTGTTTTGAGGTCCTACAGTGGTTCATAGTTTATTATCAAAGAAGCCCATACAACTGTTTTTTTAGTTATTTAGCTATTTTTTTAACTATCTTGGTAAGGAGGTCTGATTGACTGATAAAAAAAAACTACAAAAGGACTGATAATTTTGATTTGATTAAACATACATTTGACTTACATTAGAAAATTGATTTGGTAAGAACTTTTCAGTTACACATAGCCATTTTAAATCACTAGCTTAAACATAAAGACTCTAAAGTCAGGTTATTTACTCTTACATCACCTCATGAGCCCTGATCTGAAACTTTCTGAGTGTATTTTCCTATTCCTGCACAAAATCTTTTTCTTTGCCCATACATCAGGAAATACAAAAAAAAAAAAAAAAACCAAAAAACTAACAGGAGAGACTGAAGGTATTGGCAGAAGAACAATAATGTAGTGGCTTTAAAGGAGAGCCATTTCCAGCTGGATTCTGCTGTTGAGTATCTTTTCCAGGGCAAACCTGGCAGAGAAAAACTGTTTAGTGCTAAGCCTGGCATCTTAGCTTAAAACTACTCTTACCAAGTAAGAAAAAACTCCAAATTTTGCAGCTGAACAACTGAGGCACTGGCACACATTCCTGACCACGTGACAGTCCCAGTGAAAGATGGAGGTGGCATCCAGAACCCTAATAATTCATCCTCATCTCAGTCAAAAAGGGTCTTTTTCATCTCTTTCACTCCTTCATTCCTTCCCTCTCACTCCCTCTCCCCTTTCTGGTTCCCTCAGCATTTACAGAAGACTTCCTGAGTATTACCAACCAGCAACTCACAGGGGGAAGAAATTAAATGTGCAGCTCACTTAAGCTCTTTTTAGGAGACAGAGTTCCCTTTCCTCCCTCAAATATAATTTCTGTCTCCTGCCCAGAACACCAGCTTTGAGCCTGCCCCAGTGCTGGCTGTAGTACACAGAGCCAGAGGGACTGAATGAGCACAACAGCAGAATTCAGACACCAACTATCAGAGCATTTGGGATTTATTTCAAATGTAAGAAATACATGTGGTAATTTTGAGCCCAGAAAAGGACAATCACCAAAACAGCCAATTTAAATTTATCTTTCAGTTTGTTTTGTTGCTCGTTACAGTCCTGTCATCCAGCTGGCACCTGATGCCTTATCTGAATGAAGGAATGAAGTTATTGTTGAAGAATAGGAAATTCAGTTCAGAAGGGGACTACTGCATAGGTTGCAGCTGTCTAAACAGTTGTTCTGCCCAGTGCATGGTATTGATTACTACTGCTAACTGATCAGAAAATAAATTCACATATTACCAATAATTTTGTATTTTCTCAGGCTTACAAAGGTAAACGCTTGCCTCTAAGGAAATCCTAAAATTATGCTTTGCTGATTTCTATCACCTTTTTTATTGTAGCATATTGTTAATGATGAATAGCTGGATTGTAATAATAACAGTAATTTTTTTAAACATTAACCCAATTTTCACACTGTTCTCACCTTTGAACTTTGTGTTACGCATTTCACACATTCAGTTTATTTAATGTTTTACATGTGATAGAGGTCAGATAAATAGGGTTAAAGATATAAGAAAAACATCCACTTGCTTATAACGTAATTCTATAAATCTGATGATACTATAAAACACTATTAACTCATTTTGTGTATAACATTATGAAAATTACCTCTGCAGCTTTCATAAAAAAACTGCTTTATTACTGGCACATGTGTCATCAGGTACAGAATAAGTAAATAGATACTCAAACAGGTTTTGAATGTTTAAAATTGGGCACAACTTAAATGAAAATATTTATATCACTTTCCTTACATTCTTCATCACCTTCTGTGCAAAATTATTTTCCCAATAAAGTGACTACTGATCACTCTATATATTGCATAAAATTACTATATTTTAACACACTTCAAAATTAATTTGTCCATGTACAAACCAACAGCAAAACCTCAGAGAAGGTACAGATATTTAAATACTAATTAACCTTTTTTATTTATTTATTTGGTCCTTACTCTGCACATAGTTTGGCATGGATATCTTAATACTTTTCTAAAAGTGCACTGACACTGAGAAAGACAAAATGCAACTTTTTCAGGTATGAAAAAAATCTCTTTATGCATGAGATTTTCAGGGAACTATTTGGATTTCTCTTGTACTCCTCTGTAAATGCCAGTCTGATTCTAGAGACTCCACAATCAGCGAGAAAATTCCCTAGAAAGGAACAATGACTCTTCTACCAGCCCCAACAAACACAAGACTTGGATAAAATGTAAGAGACCCTATGGTCTTGAAGGACAGACAAGTTCTACCAAGGTGAGCTGAGGAACGTAAGAAAGGCAACTACAGAAACAAATCTGAAGAGGGAGATACCTGCCATATAATTGAGGGACCACCAGCCACCGTACGCGTACAGTCCCTGGAAGAAGGCTTCGGCAACCTGTGACGCGTTGGGGATCTCTGAGCTGAACGCGTCCTCAAACCTGGCCAGACTCTCCTTTCTCCCGCCAACGAGGAGAACTATGCCACCGACAGCGATTACAGACAAGGCCATCATCTTCAGGAGAGTGAAAACTGTCTGCACCCACGCAGCCATTTTGACACTGCGGCCATTCAAAATCCCCAGGGACCAGAGAGTGGCCAAGGCCAAGCATTTCTTCAGCACTTCTGGTGCCGGGCAAATGCCGTAGAAGGGCTGGGTGGCATATTCAGCAAACAGCAAGGCTCGAGCAGCATTTGATGCTGGCTTGGTAAACGTTGACGTCCAGATAAACATGAAGGCGGGTAGGGATCCAAGGCCTCTTTTAATATGGCTGTATTCTCCTCCAGAGAAGGGCAGGGCGGTTCCCAGCTCCGCATAGCAGAGGGCACCCATCAGAGAAACCAGCCCAGACGCAGTCCAGATCGTTAGTGCGACACCGACGTTGAGTAAGGAATGCTTTAACACCCCCATGGGAGACACAAAGATCCCTGCCCCAACAATTGATCCTATAATAAAACTTACCCCATCAAAATAACCTATATTTCTTTTGAGTTGCATCTTGGCCTTTTCTTTTCTTTTCACATCTTTGGGATCATCGCTTTTTCCTTTTCCCATTTTTTTCTGTTTTTTCACAGCAGATTATATGACTTCAGAGGCTGGATTGCATGTATTTGCCTTTCACTTTGTTGTTAGCACACTGTCATGGCTCTACTTGCTAGTGAAATGTTATGGGAAGTCTGGCTTAATCATTCAGAAAAGAGAGCACACTTTGGGCTTTGATGTCTTCTGTGTGAAGATGATTAACCAAATACTTCAAGAAACACTGGCAAATCATGTACATGTTGGTTTAATATGTAGTTCAGAAATCATTAAGGTCTGGAAGTATTTTTAAAGAAAACAGCATAACAAATACTGGACAATAAATGCTCGTTTCTCAGCCGATTTTCATCAACAGATTACAATTTTTTTTACCTATGTCTTCAGAGACAACCGCAAGAGGTGGGTAAATGTGACCTCTTCACCAGACCTAGGGAAAGGGAAAAGGTATGGCAGCATGAAGAAAGAAATCAGCCCTCTTTATGCTACTGACAGTGACATGGGCATTTCTTGAGCAGCCAGGTACTATTTGTCCACAATCAATACATAAAATGCACAGTGATAACCGGTGATCACCAGTATGTTTTGCCAAATCCTCATCAGTCACTGGGTATACTAGAAGTTGTTTATACTTCACCCGTTAAACACTGCCCTAGAAAGAAAATTACCAGTTTATTCCCAGTTCTCCTTGAGCACTCATCACTATAGTGGTACCCAAGCACTTCCTAAGCAGGTATTAAGCTGTGGATGCTGCTGTGAGGGGAAGGGGCTGTATCACCATTTCCCCTGTCTGTATGGGGGCTGTAGAAAAGAAAGATAAAGGCTGAAATTCCCACCAGTTTGGCATGTGTCTTTTAAGGTGTGGCTGCTGATTTTTCTACCTATTTAACAATCAGTGGTATATCTTATGATCTAAAAACAGAAAAGGAGCTTCTCTTCAATCAGATGTGGATATACCATTGCTATAGACTTTTGCCCCAAGAAAAATGCATTTATTCTTTTTAAGTGATGTAGAGAAAAATGGGCTGGAAGTGGGAAACTAACTGAAAAAGAAGCTCGGCATATACCTTAAGGGCCGTTAAGCACCCATACTAGCACCTGCAAAGCTCTTACTTTTTGACAGTCAAGTTGAAGAACCAGTTTTGTCCCAAAGCTCAGTAACTCCGTGAACAAAACCCACAGCTTTTACAGGACTAAACCTGAATGACCTGGGGGGTGCTTCAGATGGGTCCTGAACAGCCGGATTTTCGCTCAAGTACAAAACAAATTAGTCTGAAGAATTAGGTTTATGCAATATGCCATCTAAAAGACCTTTAGTTAAAATAGGCATGCAGAGAGGCGGTCATTTTCTACTTTTTTTAATGACTTGGTTAAAGTGGGTTTCCATCACCACACAGAAATTATCCAGCATGGTCAGTGACAGAATCCACAGCTCGAGAGCAGCTTTTAACCATAAGACAATTCTTCTATCTTCTGCTAATCCCTGCAGCAGTCACTATATACTTCCACCTTCAAAAAACACCAGGTCCTACAGACTACAAAACTTTTAGTTCTACACAAAACACACCTCTATTTATAAAAATTTGCATGCACTTTAAATTGCATTTATTCATTTTATAAATTGCAATATGTATTTAAGGAATTTGCCACATATTATGAATAATTCATAATAATTCGAATATTTATTCACCAGTATTCTTGAATTGGAAATTAAGTATGACAAATGGTTTATATGGTTAAAATATCTAATTTCCTGTTTTATTTCAGTGCCTTTTCTGAGTCTCCCTCTCCATGACTGCATGCATATTTCATATACAGCAATCTTCCAACTCTTTATTTTGGGTGTTTGGCAATGTACAGCTGGATATGGATTATTATTTTAAAACAAATCAATATTACCCTAAATGGTGGCTTAAAGTACAGATGCAATTGATTTTGTTTTGCTGTTCATCCTAAAGTACATTAATTTCTAGTATAACAAAAGCATTTCCAAAATCTCCCAAGCAGCAGATTAATAAGGATTTTTTACTTCTGACAAAGCTGCCTGATTTCAGAAAACCCCACTGAGATTATTATTGTGTATGCTTTCTCCCTACCTCAGATAAATGTTTCTAGACTTTCAGTGAAATGCTTCAGAGATTTATGCGAAGTATACTTTTCATTTTGGTGTGTTGTTGCCAGAGTAGGAAGAGGTAAAACCAGAGATAATGACAGCGCTCCTACAAATCCAACAAAAACTGACATTCTGGAAACAGTACACTAACATGATCATTACCAGGGCAGAACTCAGTGAAACACAGCTGGTTACACGACAACAGGTAGTTTTCAGCCAAACTGCTTTCTTTTTCAATATGCAAGGGCAGAGTCTTCTGAAGCACACCATAAATATTCACTTCTCAGGATTTCTGTAAGATGTCCAACTTCTCCCTCTGTCTGAGAGGATAAATTTCCAGTCTATATGATTATCTCAAGGTCTCATATGTCCATGTCCCCCACGTAACACCCAACTATGTACTCAATACTTGGTCATATTCACTTTGACATTATCCAGAGACTCAGCCACTGAATATAGGGCAAAGATAAATGATTAAAATAACCCAGATACGTTTGTAAGACAAGCCTAAGATTCCCCTGATATGTGGAGTAGACTGAAAGGTTATATCATCACCAAAATAAAATGTCAAAGTACTGCAATTTTATAGTCAACAGGGAACGATGACATTTGAGTGCCAACTACTGAGTTCTCTTTGACAGTAAAATGAGGTTGAGAGTGCTATGTAAGAGCTATGGTTGAATGCTGAAACTTCAGCTGATCATTTCTAGTTCTCCTAGAATTTAGGATTTTCCCTTTTAATTTGCTTTCTAAATTTTTTTACCTTTCAATGTCAAGTTTTTCATTATCAACTAATGCTTATCATGACTGATACCTTCGCTAGATTTAAGAGGAAAACCAACAGAGGAAAGTAATGGAAGAATATTTTTGTTCCTTAAAATGGGTATGTATTATCTCCTAATTAACTGAATTTCAATGTATTTGGATAAGGAGTCTCAATTTCAATCTTGCCAAGAATTTTCTATGTGTACTCAATAGGTCTTTCCTTTGATCCACTCACTGATTAGATGGACTAGAAAGAAGCCCATCTGTCTAAAGAATGTCTGATTTTAAAACATTTATTTAATTCCAATTAGCTACACAGAGTTTCAAGCATGGTATTGACTTATCTCTGCATCATCCCAAATCCTTCAAGGGGAGAAGATGTAGCAAAAATGAAAAACTAATTTGTCTTGCAAAGTTTCAATAAGTACTCTTCTGTGTTGTCTCTGAAGAAGCTTCCTGCTACTGACATTCACTAAGAACAAAGGAAAAACCTGAAGAGACCTTCCAGAAAAAAAAAAAAAAACCAGAACAGTCACAGTTAATCTTCTTTGGCATACGTCAAGGAATATACTGTATTTAGTGTGACTGACAAATTTTATTTATAATATTTTTTTCCTCCTCTTCTTTAGCTCACTTTTTGTTGGGAATATGACATTTCAAAGTAGTTTTCTTTGCCTTCTGTTCTGAAAGGAGCTCAACAGCTATTCAAGGATTTCCATGAGTCCCATTAGCTAGAAGCCATTTGCCACAGTAGACCCCATGAGGCATTAACAAACTGTTATTCAGAAAATGAGTCTGCACATTGAAGCACATGACAATCTGCTGCCTCGGCAATACTCTTTTTTTCTTGGTACTCTGCCAAACTTATTATACATCTGCCTTTTATTAGAAGTCACATGGATCTATTAGTTTCCCTGGCAGGTACATCATTCTCCTTTTACTACTGATCAAGAAACAGACCTCACATAGTAGTCAGCTAATGGCAAATGGAAAAACATGGGGACAGTCAGTTTTGTGACATGCTACGATGCTTGCTCTTGCATCCTATACAGCTTTTCATACTAACCATAGTTTACTTAAGTATTTCTCTTTGATAAAATACCAATGTAAGTCTGCTTGCATGAGCTCCTATATACATTCTTTTCTGGGCTGTAATGTGTGAAGTATGATGGATTTTTCACAGTAACACATTAATAATTAGTCACTGGTGAGCATGTCCAACAACAGCACCCATCTGTGTAAATGCAGACATTTAAAAACTGCCTAGACTTTGCTAGGGTCCCCCTGTAGTAAATTTCAAGAGATGGGTTGAGATTCATCCAATCCCAACAACAGCTGTATGAACTGCCCACTGGAAATTATTCCCCTTCTACTTTTAGGTGGTTAGATGAATCTATCCCTCCTCATATTGGCATGGGTTTGTATCTTCTACATCAGATGCTCAGCATTGCACTGAAAGCTTATACAGTGATCCTATAGTGCCCTGAAAAATAAAGCCATTCATGAAGAAATGTCAGTATGGTATTGTAAAGGGGTACTACAATAGCACTGGTATTAAAAAGCATGTAGAGTGCCCAGTCCAAGTAGGAAGTCTCTCAGGACATCTAGTCCAGCTTTACTGAAATTGTTTAACCAGAATTCACCTTTAGCTCCATTTCTCTTCAAAATCCTAGTTGTAGTGTAACAGCCAGCGCCTTGTCACTGGTCAGTCCCCCAGAGGCTCTCCCCGGCCACACAAGCAGGCCGCGCTGAGCAAGATGCCCCAGGCGCGGCCAGCAAACCCGCCCCGGCAGCTCAACACAGCCCCGCGATTTTCCTGCTCTCCGGCTGCACCGGGAGCCATGCCACGCACGAACACCGGGCTGGGAGCCCCAGATTTCAGCACACTGACCCTGGGCGGGCAGGCCCGTGGGCAAGTTCATGTGTTGTCAGGGGCCTCGGTGCACCAGAAACCGCCTCATCTGCGGAGCGAGCCTGAGGCTGCTACTGAGGCGAGGCCAGGCCTGCCCGAGCCCGTGGAGAAGCTTGAGCCACGACTGAAGCAAACTCTTAATACTGTATTAGCCCTAAAAAAAAACCCCAAACCAATCCGAAAGCCGCCGAACAGCTCCCTGAGGAGACGCAAAGCCAGCCCGCTTTACAAGCCCACCGGGCCGGCCCCGCGGCTGCCCGGCGACGGGCTGCGCAGCGGCCTCGCTGGCGGCTGTGCGCATGCTCCCGAGCGCCCCGCCTCCCCCTCCCGGCGCGCAGCGTGCTGCTTTG